CCCTTCCCCATTTTTTTCTCCCAAAACTTGATTTTTAAAAACAGAACTTCTTCCACTTTCTTTTCGGTGTGACGCAATTTATCATTCCAGGTATTTATAGTATTGCCTCACGACGGAATGTCTACTTTGAAAAAAAAATTCCGACGGATTTTTCTTGAATATTCGAATATAAGAATTTGACAAGTTTCTTGAAATCAATGAGGTTTTAAAAATGTTGATAGTTTTCACATGTTCAGGCATTCCGATTTATAAATTTCCAATTTCATTTTTGGAAAACAGAGGACAAGATTCTGAGAGATGTTTGATTTGCTCAACAATAAACTTATGTTGTTTTTTTATATTAAATGTGAGAAACACTTTTAATTTCAAGGGATTATCCTGTCCTTCATGAGATGCCCAATATTTGTTAAATCTATTCACAGCAAATACCGTTACAACAAAATTTTCAGTACAGCAATCCTTTTTCCAAGTCCCGGTAGAAATCCTTTAGGGCACATGTTATAAAAATATTGTTAGAACCAACTTGCCATTTCCTGTATAACAAACTTTTTATAGGAAAATTTTGTGATTTCATATTGAAAAATCCCCAATGAAGGCAGACAGACAGGCATAGTCTCAAATTTATAATTTAAAACTCTGACTGGTTTATATGACATAAGGGGGAATCACGAGCAAAAATTCTTCACAATTCACCTGTATATCCTCTCTTCCAAAAATTGTACCTGGGTTTAGAAAGATGGTTTTTGGATGAAAAATGAACCCAGCAAAACTCAGACTCATGCTAAAAATAATGTGTATACTGTACCTGAAAACCTGACAGATGTCAAACATTGTAAGCTTTTTTAGGAACATTGACCTCACAACTCTGTGTAGGAATTGCTTAGAAAAACTTGGAAGTCAAAAAAGTAATAGTTGTTACCTGTTATTCAGATGAAATGTTTGTTAGTAACATCTTCATTTCTTGTTGAAGATCAATGCTTTTGCACACTAAAAAACACATGAAAAGGCCAGAAAATGAAGTTGTTGAATATATGTAGGTTGAATTTTGTAAATTCTTCAATCAGTCAGAAACTTTAGAAAATCTTGTTATAACATCCTACAGTTGTTCTAACAAACTTTTTCTGCAGTACCCCCAATTTTGTTATCACAAGTTTTTACTGTGTACCGGTTTTAAGTTGAACTATGAAATTAGATTGTGTCAATTCAATATATCTTCAGAGCTCAAATAATCGCTCTGAAATTCTTTCTCTCCATACATGTGGTTCCTGGGTTTTAAAAAAAAGCTGTCTGGAAGTTTGAAATTAAAAGATTCTTCTTACCTTTTCAATGCAGAATTTCAGATTATGAAACACTTTCAACAAGATGAATTGTGTTAGACAGAAAATCACAGGCTTTTGCACCAAAAACTTTCTTTTCTATCCCATCCACATTCAAGTATGAGGTAACCTACATTTTTAACCAGGTCAGGGTTTGTTAGCCGAGGCAGCTGAGGCCCAAACCCGAAGTTTGTTGATCAAAACCCCACTGTACAGTACATTACAGTATTTTAGTTTTTCATTCAAGTCAGCAAGTTCCAATCAAGTGTACCAAACTGACACATATTCTCCCTAATTATTCAGAGGCAATCTCCCTGTGAAATATTTCCATAAAAATAAATATAACTCGCCGTTCAGAATCTTCTTTGGCATTCATATCTTGAAGTTCTCTGTTTTATTGAAAAACAGGATCTGGTCAAATCGAATTCAACGAATTCGTGCTTCTTGCCTCCAAGTTCATGTCTGAAGAAGACTCAGGAGTGATGGAACAAGAACTTCGTGAAGCTTTTCGGCTCTACGACAAAGAAGGTCAGAAAACTCAGAATTTAACTGACTGAAAAAATCCCTGCTTTCTCCACATTGCCTCCTTTAAATTATCTCATTTGAAATATTTATATCACAACCAAAAACTAGGTAAGGTATTTTCGAATTCCTCCCACCGAGCCTCGATTCTCAAAGTCTTCATTTTTCATATTTTTCGCACCCAAAGAAAACTGTTCAGTATATGGAAGTAATATGGGAATTTGAAAATTTTCAAACCAGAAGAAAATTTATTTCTCTTTTCGAAGATTCAAAGAAAGCCTTTGCCACTGAAATGTTTTCCGATTGCCCCCTTCCGGCCTGAAGATATATATTCTGTGAAATTTCAGAAAAAAGATACTTTTTATGTAAATAAATGGTAATGTTTCAATCGACAGTCACTAATGTTTAAGTATTTATTCGCTTGCTCTGAATTCGTAATGATATAAATAAGTGCCTTACTTTTTAAATACCAGGAAATGGGTATATCACAACGAAGACCTTGCGGGAAATTTTGCGAGAGTTGGATGACAAGCTGACCAACGAGGAGTTGGACGAAATGATCGCAGAAATCGACACTGACGGGTCCGGAACTGTCGACTTCGACGGTAAGTTTGTCAAAATTTGCGTTTGACATTTTGAAGGAAAAAAAACTGATGTGGATTTTTGGCTATGTAGCGAATCGAAGATTAGTTAATGCATGGGAGAAATTAACTATACAGTACTGTATATAGTCCCTCTTGCATTTCCATGCTTCACTCCTTTTTTCAACGGATAGATGTCGCTTCTCTCGACTAAGCCTAAGTTGCAGTGAGATTCNCAACATACGGACAATCGAACAGAGGGACACTTGAAACTCAAAACAATTCTTGTGATACGGACAATTTTCAGCATTCACTGAAAAATGATTTTTTACATTTTTGATATCCTATGAAGAAATTGAGCTATTTACATTCTCAAAAATGCTTAAGAATAACTTCATAAATGCAATGTCCTGATTTTAATCATGTTTTGTTGCCAAAAAATCGAAATCGTAGTGTTTTTCGTCTGCAGAGTTTCTTTTTATTCTTGAAGTTGAGAACTTAAATTTTAATTCAATTTTTCGGGTACTTGTTTCTAATTTTTGATGAATAAAGAACTGAATTAATGCAAATTCCTTGGGAAAACGTGATCAAACATGTGGGATGCTCTTATAAAGGGGATACAGACAAATTGAGACAGAAAATTGGAGACAGGCCCAATTCAAGACAGGGACAATTACGTACAAGGATAATTTCAGACAGAGACAAATTGCAGAAAAAAACTATTTTCATTAGGAAAATAATCTGCTTAGGTTGGTTGAAAGATTTGAGTTTTTCCTTTATGAGGAAAACTTACTTGACAGTGATGATGGTCAAAAAGCAGGAACACATTGTGTTCATGGACTTTTCACCAAACTGTGCAATTTCTGTTAATTTGCACACCTTTATTATGTTGATACTAGAAAGAAATCAGTCAAGTCATTGTGTCTCAAAATGTCTCAAATTCTCAAAATGTATTTGTCTCAATTTTTCCATGTCTTGATAAGTTTCATTCTCAAATTTTTCCCATCTCCAAAAGTATCTGTCTCAATTTTAGACTGTCTCAATTTGGCCGTGGACACTCTTACAACATTCAAACACCAATTCTGTCCGCTTCTCAGGGCCCCCTTTTTTAACTTGTAATAGTGAACAAAACCCAGATACGATTACTGTTACTGGTCTAATCGTAAATTAATCATTATTCGAATCTATATGTGGGCGAACATGAGCTAATCATACTTGGAAACAATGAACGTTAGTCAGGAATCAGGCGACATCTACCAAATGACAGAAAGATTAACGTGGTTGCATGTGGACAGCGGGTGTATAGAAGGGAAATCACTGCAATTTTCAAAAGGATGATCAGAATTATCGCTAGTAAAGAATCGATTGAAACCGATGATCATTTGAATTAATGTTTCTCCTATGTTACCTACATGTGATGAAGAGTTCATGGAGATGATGACCGGCGAATGAACACGTGC